GTCCTCTTCTCCGCCAAACTTGCTCTCAGTGTCGTCCCCAGTCCCCTTGTGAATTCGGACTTTCACTCGCTTCCTCGCCTATGGATGCCTCACCACCAGATCGTAGTGTAGCACTCGCCGCTGGAACGTTAGCCCCTGCGCAAAAGCGCCTGGGCGCCAAGCGATCGTTTATTTCGGTTTGGCCGCTTTCCTCTGGGCCCACCTGCTCCGATCCGCTCATGTCTGGACTTACGAGCACGACGCTTCTTCCTTCAAATCTGCCGAGCTTCATCTCAACTGCTCTTGTGCTCTGTGCTCCTGTCTCTCTCGCGTCACACTCCCGAGATCTGTCCATAGTTTCCCATTCCGAATCACGGACTGTCAGCTGGCTCCGGTATTCGCCACATTGCAACGTCAAGTTGCATAAGGTGATGAGTGATCTTAGCTTCCTGTCATACCATAAATGGGTTCGGAGGAAGTAACTTGAGCGCGAACCAAGTTCGTGCTTGCCTCTTTGCTTTGTCTTCTCATCTAAAGCTTTTCTTGTGTCGTTCTCCCTGCTTGGCAGAAATGGACTCCATGTCCAACCTCGCTTGCACATGTTCTGCGAAGAACGTCTTCCCCGACTCAGATGCTACGTTTCCCCCCAGATTGTCTGGTGAAGCAATGACTTAAAACTTCAGGTAGTTTCGATCTTCGGATTGTGACAATATGTGAGGACAACACCGTTCCATCCGCTTGTGTGTCACGTATTTAGTTGTCTTAGGCACATCCAGCTGAGTTATTTTTGGATCATTGTCGAAAGACATGTAAATATACCTAATTGAATGTGAGATTTACTCTCCGTCGGGGACCAAATCGTTTAACAAAATCATTAAGTAGGCAATCCCACCCAGGTAAGTCTCTGAGGCATGAGTTAAGAGGTGCATGTTATCTTTATGTTGCAGGATCCGCCGAATCTTAACCTTTGTGGACTGGATTAAGAGGAGAACCGGGCGAACGTTCTGTATTCCTCCGCACTCAATCCTTGTTTCAGGATATAACACGAAAGCCAGAAGAAGTGTTCTACTTGAAGCTTTCGAAATCCTCACTTCTCCAAACAAGGTCATGAACGGTCGGATTCCATAATCCAACCGTAAAAGCTTGCAACTTACAGAAAAGTGTGTTGAATGCCAAACATACGGCCGGGCTGACCATCCTCTTCCAGTTCACATCACAGGACTACCATCATGCTTCCGTGTTCTCTACATAAAAAAATGGTCTGATTACAAGTGAGGAGCCAAGACAGGTCGACTCTCAGCTGAATGATAAGTGAGAAGGTGAATAAAGTAATTAGTTGATATCTTTCTATGTGGTTATATTCAGATCTGAAAGCTGCTTATAGAACATGTGCCACATTCTTTTCATGACTTCTCTTTTCTGACATAGGACAGATGCAGGGGCAATGAGTGAAACGTGCGAACGTCTTGAACAAAATTCCTTGACAGTAAGCTGTACAAATGTGACATTCATATGAGACGAGAAGTCGAAGCAGCATGAGAAGCAGCATCTTCGACAGCGAAACGCATTGTACAGTTCGAAATCAATGGAATGATCTCCTCGTTACCAAATGGGTAACCATGGAAAATTGATATCCTTACCGGGGAGAGTGGATAGTGATAAAAAAACACCATCGGGGACTGCATATTTTATCTATGTTAAAGAGGTGAATTCTGGATCAGCTGAAAGATGTTTGAGAGCATGTGGCGTCAGGTATAAAAGTACATCACAGTACCCATCACCAGGTCTGCTCGGAATACAGATGCACTGACCCTTCCGCGAAATCTGCGCGAACATATTTATCATTGAATAGACCGGATTTCCCTGGCTGAAGTCAAGGTCGTACATGCCGAATCGGATCCAAGAAGTAAGGCCCAGTTGGTGGTCGGTTCTGTTGATGCTGGTTTTCCAAGGGTTTGCCAGATCCATCTGGTCGATGATGGTCCAGTAAGTTTCCTGATTAACTGCCTGATGAGCCTGACGGATCAAGCCGGCTGCATAAGACAGGGGCTTGGCCAGAATCTTGGATGTGGGAACGTTCCGGACAAATGCAGGCACGATCACATTTCCGAAGAAATGGGGCGTGAGAGTACCGGGCATCCTCTTCCTGCCCTCCACGGCTGTGCTGAAGATCGTCTTGTCCGTTATGCCAAAATTAGCATAGTATCTTGACAGACAGCGCCACAGATGTGCAGAAACACAGTCCATGGTCGACAAGTCACTCACATCTTGCACGGCTTGCTGTTTCAGCTTCGCAATCTTCTCCCTCTTAAAGCGGAAAACCTTGAGCGTGAATTTGGTGTTCAGCACTGCCTGAAGCTTCGCCTTCTCTTCGTCAGACATCTGAGGAGGAGCTGTGGGCTCGCTATCCTCAACCTCTTGTCTCGGTTCCAACAGTGTCCGATCGAGCTGAGGTACGATGGTCGTGTGCCCCGTGCTGGCTATATCCGCCCATGCTCGCAGAATCAGCATTGCTCCCGTCATGTCTGCCAACAAATGATTCCAACTCATGCATAAAGCAACTCCACCACATCTGAACCGAGTGACCTGCGAAAGTCACAGTGCATCGTTATGAACGACAGGGGAAGAAGAGTCAAATTTTCTGGACCGGCAAGTTCCATTCATACACTCGGATCCTAATGCACCCTCAAAAGGTTGGACGAGAACTGACAGACTGCACATTTTCTACTTGAGCATTCATTGTACCTGAATGACGATGCCTGGGCTGCCCGAATCTCCGAGAAGTTGACATTGTTTGTGCGACATCAAACCGGCCGGCTCCCATCCTTGGAGTGGAGGGGCAGGTGAGAAGGCGTCCGGGTTCACAACATCGTTCATTGCTGCATCCTTGTACGCTTCTGTGAAAGGAACGCCTCGGTCGTCACAGAGGAACATGCGAGGATGGCTCGGATTCGAGGTTTTGACAATGGCCCCGGCAGCGGGATAAAACGACACCACCGTTTTGGCCAAAGAGTCCTTCAAGTTAGCCACGTATTGGTTGTAGACAGGGTCCGAATTGTCAGCGAGCCTGTACAAGAAGAGAAGTGGCACATAGCGGTCCATGTGCAGATGGTCCAAGTGGCTTGGAGCTGTCATCGCTGGATGATCGGTTACGGCTGACGGCTTCACCATTGTGGTCTCCACTTTGTGATTGAAATAATTGTAGTATTCCTCTAGCGCCATCTCGTCCGTCTTCGTCGTGCCCTCGCTCCCCATAGTCGCTCTGTCAAATCAATGGTTGTGCTGTGAAACCAGAACCTCCAACAACCAGAGGCTCCGTCGTTGGCTCGTTGGCTCGACTGGTTCCGTCTCTCCTCTTAGAGCGGGGAGTATGTGAACGGCGTCCTTTGTTTCTTTTCAAGTCATTTCTCGAGACCTCTGTTTTCTGCTCTTTCGAGGGGAGTTTTATATTATGCCAGGGGCGGCAGACCAAGACCAACTGAAAGCTAATTCTAGATCTGTCGTTCCAAATTGAGAGGTCATTACCCTCCAAGAGTGGGGGTTGGATTTCTTTGACCTAGCTCGTGACGTATCATACACGAAACCAAAGACCGAGGTCATATCACATCTGTGCACTTTCTTTTCTCTCCTGTCAGCTTCCTGGGGCGTTAGAACCACTGCTTTCCCTGTGCAGAAATTTCTCACGAGCACGATTACCCACCGGGAGGCAAGGGCATCTAGGTAGTCGGAAGGGTTGCGTAGACTACGCGAAGCTCTTAAAGGGAGTGCATTAAAATGCGATTATAAGCACAATACTATGTGCAGACTTTGCGATCTTTGCAAATCACAAAACCAACTACGAAAGGAAGCCCAGACATGGCAGAAGGAGCACTGAAAGACCGGCAGAAGAGGTAACGAGAAGGCAGAAGCGAAAGGATGGGCATCTCCTCGAAAGTGCAAACCCATTCCGTTGCCGGGACATGCCCCGGGTCGCTCGCGTGAGAGCCGAGTATCCTAGCCATTTAGGCTGCAACGGATGATGACATTTATGGCTAAATTTATTTGTATGATCGTAAAAATTTTCTCAGACTTCACGGCATGAAATCATGACTGCATATAAAGAATTTACATTCACCGTATGCAATCATCACCTCTACCTTTTCATTGAAAGTAATCTATCAGTAGTAGCTATGAAACACCTATTATTAATGTGATCGTTATTTGATTCGATTAACCTACCGGTTATCATCACAGGTCGTTGAGTTTTACATGACTTGAGGTCCTAAATTAACCGGGATAATTATAATGCTTAGTTCTTCACTCTAGGTTGCCATCCTGGATAAGCTAGGATAGTTGGAACAGTTAAAATTCAAGGATATAATATACAGGAAAGATTACATAGATGTGTTGATTATGGACACAGCAAGTACGGAATTATGAATTACAATGATCATGAGGTATTTTTTCAGATTACTATTAATTTCTCGATAATCAGGGTTTGATAAAGAAGAACCACAAATACAATCCAGGAAAGAAATTACGAATATGAGACAAAGAGAGGAAAGATCAAAGTGAAAGGTGGAGTTAGAGTAAGAGTAAATAACGACTAGTCGACGTGGAGGTCGGAGTTGAATTGATGGCATAAAACCAACCTGAATCCAAGGACGGAATTACGCGTACAACCCGAAGTGATAAATCTCCGATACTAATGCACTGATTTCAAAAGAGAATGTGCACTAAGGGCCTGCCGAGTGAGTACATACACTGTTCCAACTAAAGGATCGCAGTTGCTCTAAAGAAACGTTTAGATAAGAGAGAACCATTTCAACGGGAGTATATAGGTTCGATACATTAGCATATACCGAACCTATATACTCAAGCAAGTTACGTCAAGCAAATTACAGTCGACATACATTTAGCATGTAAATGTCATGCGCATGTACTGGAACACGTGAGAGGAGGTAGGCTGCTACTGACCACGACCTTGAACTCCTGACCATCGAAATACTGAGGTCAGAATGGCAAGAAAGTTAAAAGCCTACCAGTTTTAACCAGGCTCGGACTAAAGACCTTCATTGTGTGACTCACGTGATACCCAACTGCACCATAAAACCGGATATTAGTCTGGAAAAAAAAATCAAAAAGTACCAAGTTAACAGAAAACCGCCAATTTGTACTACTTGAGGGATATTCGGGTGGCGACCTTAAATTTCCACTCCGTCTTATTGTGAGGAGTTTAAGGATCTTTCGAAATATCCGAAAAGAGATGTATGCCACACAAGAATTGAACGTCCCGCTCACTCTCCAGAAAAGTCAAATCCGGGAGCAAGGCGACTCGTAGAGTCTGCTTCTCGTACCAGCGCGAGTCGGTCTTCCGACCGCCACACGAGGAGAGACCGACTCGATCAACCAATCCACCAAGCCCAGGCAAAACCGCACGGCGATACGAAGGTGCCGGGTGTACTTGGGAAAAATAAATTCGGCCCATGCAGGTCTCAAGCCTGAGACCTTGCCGACCGCCACACGGGGTGAGACTTACTTGATCTACCAATCCACCAAGCCCAGGCAATGTCGCACAGCGCACTGGAGGTGACTGATGTGCATGATACAGCCTATCTTGGCCCATGTAGGTCTCGAACCTATGACCGTCGCGTTATCAGCACGACGCTCTAACTAACTGAGCTAATGGGCCGGAAGGCATGTTGCGCTGTGAGAAAATTAAGAATCATTTACTTGAAAAGAAGAGCAAATTATTGGTCGTAATAAACCCGCATTTATGTTTGTGCGCTACCTGGGTTCTTGGGGTTTTTCTATCCCAGGCTCTCGAGGATCACTCTGTTGCCTAACGTCCTTGCCGAGTTGACAAGGAGGAGGAAGGCAGATACCATATTCTAATTGTCTCCTTTTCATGAGGCTATTAAGCATTCTCGATGATGTTCACCGTATCAATTGGTATCACACTCTTTATCTTACCGATGTTGATGCGTAACCCTCTCGTTTGATAGAACGCTTCGATCAATTGACAAGAAATGCCTTAGTCATGTCCAAATCTGCAATGATAGTTTTATGTGCAGTGCACATAAATCCGGAGTGTGTAAAAATCATCCATGCAGAATTCAATGGATGAGATTTAAAGTCCAACAGGGTTATGGAACTGAGAACCAAGGAAACGGCTTGAGAGCCTAAGTATGTTCTGAACTAAGGATTAAATTTAAGAATCAATTTTGGTACTATTTTATCTCCTCCATCCATAACCTGCATCCACAATAATCCCCTTCCACTATTTGCAGCTCATTGACCACTACCTGCCTCTAACAAATACTCTCTCCTCAAATTATCGTACCAACCAAGATTACTCTTCCAATAGTGGTGATCCACACTCATATGAACAATAAGTCTGCTCTAATGTCATTGTAACACTGAAGTCAATGATTCCGGAATGACTTTCAAGATGAAATCTTCTCAAGACCTCTCCTTACTATAGGACTAGGAAAGTCCAAAATCCAAACTATGCCACATGGCTAACATGCATATATTTTATTTTTCGTTACCTTATCCCAGCCAATTTTTTAAAAACATCTAGCAGACAATGTGATCCACAAATGCTTGGTAGCCATCTCGTCATTGACCCATACAAACCAAAATTTACCTTTTGTTTTTTGAATCGTGCGCATCACTATCTTTTTTTTTTGTGATTTAGTGACCAATTTAAACTTTGGCTAAACTAACTGTAGCTAACCAAGATTGGTTATACCTAACAAATTCTTCACTAAGATTGATTTTATGGTGGTGTCTATTTTTGTATGGCTTCTATCTTCTCACACATCATTAAGATTCACTTCCTTCTGACTTAATGACCTAAATAATCTTCTTGTTCTTTGTCAAATTCAGATTTTGAAGCTTTGTCATATAACTTATTTTTTTCCAAAATAGAAGCATAACATGACCCCATGGTCATAGAGTGCGGGTTAACGTCTAAAGTACCTCTTGTTAATATCACTTATGATCTTCTAAGATTTTATTATACATTAGAATATCATCCAAAAAGAAAATAATAAATATGTGTAAATAAGGATAAAAAATATCGTTCATCAATGACATGAATCTTGTAGCTATGTAAGTAAGACCAAATAGCATCACTAGATACAAAATGACCATATCGAGTATGAAAAGTTATCTTGTGATCATCTTCATCTATAATTCCAATCTAGTTATATCCGCTCTTCAAATCCAATTGGATGAAGTATTTCATCTTTTGAAGTTGACCAAACAAATAATCCATTTTAGGCTATGGATACTTGTTTTTCACCATTTGTTGATTCAACACATTGTAATCAATGCACAATTTCATATTTCCATCCTTCTTCTTGACAAACAACATTGGTGCTCCATAAGATGAAATGCTTTGTTATTTGAATCACTTCCTCAATATCTCTTCTACTTGAGCTTTAGATTCCTCCAATCTTTTAGGAATCAAACAATATGAAGTTTTGCAAATTGGTTTGTTATCTACACTCAATCTCAATCTTGTGATCTACACTCCTCTTAGATGGCAATCATGCAAGAAGATAATCTAGGAATATATTTTTATTATCCATATTAATATCCAAATCTAAATTCATTGAACTCAAAATGTAAGGATTGGCTTTAGAACCAACAATATCTCCTATAAATCCCAAGAAACATACATCATCTATAAAATTGGCATTTTAATTAATCACAAAAATATGTAAGCTTCTATTTTGAGATCTAAATCTATCTATGAAAATCTTCCATCCATTACTTTTTACCACTTTCCTTGTTCAGTCCATCTCCAGACTATATTGCTCCATCAAGGATATTTTTATAATGACATCATATCCACCTAATCTAATTACTCTTCATTCAATCTATTCCTTAAATCTGACTATGGCTTGTTGTGCATTTCATGCTTATGTCTCTATTGGTTCAATTTGCCCATTTGGCAACTCTACTTCTTCACCTATATTCTTAATCAAAATCAATCCTAATTTCATTGCAACAAATCAAGATATAAAATTTTTTATTGCTCTAGAATCAGTAAAGACTCTCATTCTGTGTTCTTGCATCATCCCATATGTGACAATCAATCTTGCTTGTTTTAAGTTTCTAAGGTAGAGACGAATGTAGAAGTTCGAGATGGTTGTCAACATTATAGAGCACACAATCTGTCATGCAAGCTTAACTCGAACGTTGAGGGAATTCTGCTCGACCCCATGACTAACAGTATAATCTCAACGATAATCTTCATGTTTGGGATTTCTTTCGTCAGGAGGGAGAGAAAATCCGGCACTCAAGTGACTACCAAATAACTTAGATTCAAATGAACGTAGAAAAAAAGTGCCAGCTTCAAACTTGGTCGACCATCGACCAATGTGTGTGCTCTCAAATGACTGGGCAATATAGAAATACATTGACAGTACGTAAAATTCCACATACTTCATTCAGGAAAGCAAATGCATAGGACATAATGCTTGAATGCCTTCAACAATGTCAAAAAAGATCAAAGCATGATGTGCAATCCTACGAGTCTCCATGTTCTTCCATAGTCCCATAATCGAGTATTATATCTGGTATTAGATGGACTTGTCTTACGCTATCTAGATAAGTATGTAGTGCATGTAGATGATCTTTCTCTACTAGGGGATCTGCAAGTGACATTTGGTATACTCTCCTCTACAATTGCTCATCGACCCACCTACCTACTTCACACGGTTCCTCCTTCACCTATATTCCTACCATGTTTGATAGCCTTTGAGATTACATCATTAGACCATAGACCTTCGAGTGTGTGATAGGAGATTTGGCAAGGAGACAAACATCTTTGCCAATTTTTTGTGGAGGGTAGGCTTAATATTAATGGAGGAGATCTCATTTATAGCATTTTTGGATAATTGGGCATTCTCATCACCTTTGTTATCCTCTCACTTTGTGATTGTGAATAGATTTATCCTTGAGATGTATGTGAGCGATGTGGAGAGTGCCATTTCCCCTACATGTATTATTACAGCAGACAAGAGATGCTTTGTCCGAATAGATACAACAATTTTATTAGGCTCTACACTCTTTCTTTGTGGATTCGGCCATTCCTCATAATACTAAGGTTCATCTAAGCTCCAACTCAGGCACTATAACATTAAAGACAATGACTTCGTAATAGATTTCAAAGATGAGATGTCTTCTCAAATCCTTTTCTTGCTTTATATATTATAAGACTAGAAAGAGTCCAAAATCCAATCTATGTCATATGGCTAACTTGACTTGGTCACATGCTTCTTAATCTTATTCTAACCAATTTCTAAAAAATATCTAGCATCTTATCTAATCCACCTATGCATGGTAGCCATCTCTTCATGTATCCATACATGCCAAAGTTTACTTTTTAATTTTTGGATCATGCATATCACTATTTTTTGTTTAGTGATTTAGTGATCAATCTAAGATTTAGCTAAGCAAACTATAACTAATCAAGATTGGTTAGAGGCAAGAGTGCAAGCTTGTGGATCTTGGCTCAACCATACTTCATGGATTTTGAACTCGCATCAGCTACCTTTTCTACAACTATGAGGTTTCCCCTTTGGCTTGGTCCATCTATTTGCATCTTCATTATTTAGCTGAATGTGATACTAAAATATATGTAAAGGGGATCATTGCCCATTTGGAAGATATGATGACTACCCATGATGCCATTAGGGATATGGTGTTTGCTATGGTGTGCGAGGATGGATTTTCAATGGAGTGAGTCAGGTAATGGAAGACCTCTATTTGGTTTGGGAGGATCAGGTTACTGTTACATGTTGTGGTTACATATCCTACAAGTGACATAGTTTCGGAGTGGTGATTACACATTCTCCTAGATGGGAGGCAAGTGGGATGGCAGCAATCAAGGTCTCCAAATATATGGCTATGGAGAGAGGTCAACTCTTCGGATGCTTGAATAGTATGTAGACCATTTGATCTAGATAGGGCTGATTTTTTAAGTTTAGTAGGACATATTTCCCATTGTGATGTTATTGGGACCTAGTCCCATCCTACCCTATAGGTTTCATATGGGGTCTTCACATCCTTTTTGCTATATTACTTGCTCCATATTTTTCTGATACAATCGAAGGTACCTTTAGAAAACTGAAAGAAGAAAGATGATTCTTTGCACGGTTCAAGGCTCGAGGGTATGGAGATTACGGGGAGAAGAGAGAGAGAGTAGAATAGGATAGAATATGTTCTTGCATATTCTGTGGTTAAACTATGCCAAACATGAAGAGTGAATAATCATTTCTCTTCTCTTTCAATTTGGTAGCTAGTTTGAAGATTATAGAGAATGATATGGTGAGATATGAGTGTTCTTTTTTTGTTGGGATTTGAGTGATTTTTGAGTGATTTTTCTCAAATTATACAAATCGGTGGGATTTTTTTGTTCCAATCTCTTCCTTTCTTGCATTGGTTCTATTGGGACATAGTGGAAAATTAACAAGATCGGAATAAAAAGTTATGAGTATTTTTAGATTTTAGGGTTTTCATAGTTAGCATTTTCCCATGTGAGGTGGGATGTTAGGGGGTTGTGGTTCTACAAATGGGGGTAGATATATGATGGAGTGCTTGGTGTCTTTATCGTTCTCTTTGTGCTAGCTATAGCTTCACTTTTCCTCATGGGGCTACCAAAAGTGATACATGATAC